CACCGCTTCTGGGAGAAATCTGTCCCTCACCCCGACTTTGCCTCCTGTTAACCAAATAATTCATTTTCCTGACTACCGTATGCTTATTTATGCCCGTTGTAAACTGCTTTGCTTGGCTTTCTCCCTGGCTGGTTAAACTTCGCTTAATTTCCGTCGCTTTGCTAGAAACCGCCGCTAATATTTATTTGTAGAATTAGAGTAGCCCGTAATCAATTATTTTTCTCTGTTTCAGAGCCATTTGGGAATGACTTATTTTATTGACTATTTATTACTCTAATTTATTAACCTTATTTGTTCTTCCCTTTCTAGCACCGACCGAAATTTAAAACCGAATATTATTTTGGCGTACCGTTTCTTAAAGTATTAGATTGTTTATTAAATAAACCAAATGCCAAATACTCCGTTTTTCTACTGTACCGATTTTTGTGTCCTGATATTTGACTACGTGCTAATTTTGTATTTATTTACAGCACCGAAAAACCGCATAGGCATGTTAAATCCGTAGTAAATAATAATTGCTCTAACTCATTTTATTTCATTCACACCGCTTGTAAATTATTTGTATATTTCTGAGCTTAGTTAGTTATAATAATTGTAATTAGAATTTAGTTTACTTTTGTTCGTTTCAATTTCCGTAGGCCTTATTAATATAAAATAAATCTAGTAAATATATTTCCCGTTGTCTTCATTCTTAACACTGATAAGATTGATAAATTCCGATCAGTAAAAAGTCGCAGTATCTTTTTGTGACCTACACTGATGTCTGTTTATTTTAAAAGTAAAATAACACTACACTCAAAGAACTACTTTGATTAAAAGTAAGAGAAATATAATAGACCCCTGGATTTAAACTTTCTTCACTGTAGCTATCCCGAGTACTTACTCTAAACCGAGGGTAGGGTTCACGTGGAGTTTCCCCCACGTAAAAGATATGGAAACTGGCACCCGAGACAAACTGAACAAAAAGATTTTAATCCGGAGTACGTTCCTGTGACGTCACTCACCACCGCCGGCTGCCAACCACCGCTGCCGAAAACTAGCAGTCAAGGGTCGTCATAAAACTAGGCGTCCAAACAGGGACGTCAGTGACATCAATAAATATAGTAAATTAGAATTCGAAATTGCAAATTAAGATTCCGTTTAGAGTTGGTAGTCTACCGAGGGGCGGCCACAAGTAACGTCTGAACCGAACCGTCACCACCAAAGTAAAGCAAAGTACGTTACAGCCTTTATTTTTATAAAGGCTTAAAAATTGCTTACAAGAGGGAAGTAGGTCTATCTTTTAACTTTGCAATGATACCAAAATTATATTGATTTGATAAAAATGACTCAAAATTCTATGCTAAATCCCGAACGTCTACAACTTAAAAAACGAACATATTTTAAATGCCGCAACCACGTGTTACCACACTATTAGTTTGTAATTATCTTTTGATATCGGTAATTAGATTTCGATATCAGCGATAACAATGAAATTTTTAATAATAAATTATATGGTACAACATTTTAGCATTTCCATCCCCGACCATGTTTAATAAAGGAAATGCCGACGATAATCTCGATTTTGTTATTTTGCCGTTTATATTGAAAATATAAACTATACAATTTTTGTTTCTAAATGCACCTAGTCATACTAATAAAATAACTCTCATTTATGATCAACTACTTGTCTTGATGAGTATTGACGACTTTTAATTATTTTTGGTCATATTGAAATTAATGCTTAGTTTACTGATCAGCTTTGGTGTCATCCGCATTTAGTTATTGTATGCACTTTTTGTTTACACATTGGTTTCTAGTTTAGTGTGGTGATATAACTCCAGAAACTGATTTATCATGAAATCTGATTATCGAAAAGGATCAAAATCAACGTTATATTGTTATAAATTGAAATTTTATATTTCAATATTTTTTCAATAAACTTAGTTGTTGATGTCTTTCAAACATATTTTTGGCTCATTTTATTTGACAGTGGATCACACTCCACTGTGATCCAATTGAGGATAAATACTAAAAATTATTTATATTAATTTTACGAAACGCAAAAAGAATCAGAAATTAATATAATTTTTCCATCATATTCGAAAGTTGAATGGTTTTTTATTTCATCCCTTTATGTATATATTTTGGAAAGGCAAAAGATGTGCATAATTTTAGCAGAGACAGTGACTGCAGTATCATAGATTAAATACGCATTATTACATAGAACCAAAAAAAGAGGAGCGTTAAACTGACGTGGGATGTCAGTTATTCAATTTTGTGTTGCGATGAAATTTGTTATAGTCTTTCTGAACTCAGCTGAACGTGTAAAAAACGCCTGGCAATAAAATTTAATGAGTTTCATAGGCGTCCGTAAAAAAGTTTTCTTATAAAGGTAAAAAATTATAATAATTTGTATATAATGTGCAGAAAATTTCTATTATATGTTCATTTGTCCAACAACATATTTTATTTATTTATGTCCTCAAACAATTTTATTATGTTGATGGTAAATTCCGTTTTGTTCCGTTTCAAACGGTTTCCAAAATGCCATGTTATAATAATATTATTTCTCCCTTTCGCAATTGTAATATCAATGATTAATAGAAGGTGCCTGTAATAAATTAAAATTACCTGAATCACACCAAATTCCGCATTGCTGCACTGCACTGCTGGGCAATTTGTCGACCACTTGTCAACGGCTGAGATTTTTGCCGAGTTCTGCGTCAACGACCGAACCTGGTACATACTGTCATCCTCTTGGTTCTTCAATTGACATCGGAAAGACTATACAACTGCAACTCTAATGATATAATAATTGTTTCAATTCGAAATTGACACAATTATTGAAGTAAAAATTGTAATGTTAGTGGCTTGTTTAAATCAATCTAAATATTTTAAATATGTCCACCCTAAAATCATCGTAGTGGGAGAGCGATAGTCTCTGCCTCCAGCTGTAACACCCGTGCACCCGACCCCGCAGCAATACCCGAGCAGTGTACAGAGAACAGACTCTTAATCTCACTTGTTTTTCTTGACTGTATGCAAGTATCTTTCATTACAAAAAGGGATACTAACGCTGAGGATTAGACGCTCCCTTGGGAAATATCACTATTAGCAATTTTAAAAAATTTGAGTGACTACAAAATGTGTTTGAAATGTTTCTTGTTTCTCATTAAATTTCAATATAACTTCTCACACGTACTTTTACTCTCTTAAAGATTCCTGTATATTGATGAATGTGCCAATACCCTTTTTTTGGAATCTCAAATTTGTCTTAAAAAATCAGGACTTCAGTGCTAATGATTATTAAAACAAAATATATTTAAATTTGGACCACAAAAAGTTACCTAAATTTATCTAAATTCTAAATAAATCTTTATAAACACCATTATTTTTTTGTCAATGCAGCTGAAATGGCGAACATTAAAATTTTTTTTAAAATCTATATTGTTTACCTGGTTTATTAAATATTAACTAATGTGGTGAGAAGATGAACATACTAAAAAATAAATAAAAATACTAATCTGGTCAATTTGAAATATATTTAAAACTCAACTGTTTAGTGTCTATTATTTTTTTAAATCTTGTGTTTGTGTTTTTCAGTATCATGTCAATGGCCTCTGACATTCACCTAGTTTAGGTAAATTACATAATAGGTCTGTTCCAACAAGAGTCAGGGATTGGTTCCGAACCGTTTGAAATGTTTGGCCAGCTAAGATCTAAATGTGTCTTCAGTGAATATATCGCAAGAATTAGTTGGATGCACATTTTGAAGGGTTCAGAACCAATTCCTGACTCCTGCTGGATCAGACCTTATATCAATTCACCTGATATATGACAACAGGGCTAGGTGGGTAAAAAACCAATTACTCCAGTCAGATTAGATCATAAAAACTGAAATCTTCAAAAAATGATTAGTAGACATTTTATTGCAATTTAAGACAGGGAAGGATATGTAAAACGATAATATCAAAAAAGTAACTCGAAAGAAGTGATGCTAAATTGGCAAATTGCAAATAAGTGTCATTTTTATGTTTTTTCACTTTTTTTATTGCCCACGAAAATCTAGACAACCTGTTGGAAAATTAGTCACTATGTGTTGTAGGCAATTGAATTACCTATAATCTATTTAAGATTCACCAATTTGTTTACTAAAATAAAGGTTGAACGCGGAAAATTCAGTTTTCGAAAATTGCGCATTGCAAAAAGCAATACATGTTGATGAAATTTACGGAAAAGATGGTCAATCCAATGACCATGATCAGATGTGTGCCAAAGGCCGATTCGATTGACCGTGAAATTGTTGCTCCAGGTATTTGTTAATTAATTTCATTAGCTTTTTTGCAATTATTTAATTACTAAACGTTAATTTTAGAAACTAATATCATGGAAATAGTTCTAATTTGTCCAGAGAAACGTGCGTGAACGCTGCCCTCGATCGTGTGCGAGATATTTTAATCGAATTTGAAACGTTCAAGAAAAAATCTCCTAATTTGCCACTTATTTGTAATTTTCCAACTTTGCGTCACTTCTTTCGAGTTACTTTTTTTGGTTTTTTTCTTTTTTTTTCCCTTTCCCGTTCTTAAGTTGCATTAAATTTTTTCTTATTTCTTTTTTCCGTTCACTTTTATTTGGTTTGGTTAATTGGCAACGTTTCCTTTGGCAAACCAAAGTTGGGGTTTGGGTTTCCTTTGGTTTGGGAAAAAAAACCAAAAAAATTCTTTTTTTATGACGGAATTTGAGGAAACAAGCTTATGATGAGTTTATAAAGGCCTTTGTATAAATATGATCTCCATTCAAAGTTACAAAAATATTCTTAAATCTGGACTAGGAAAACTTCATATTTGACATGTAGCTGCCTATCTATTATCAGGAAGATATTGATTCAAAAGTTAATATTTAATAATAGAAATGCAACATTTGTGTGTGTAGCTGATACTGCAATATAAGGTTTGCAATATCGAGGGTCATTTAGGGATTGATATTTAATTTTAAAAGTCTGAAACTACATAGAAATATGTAATTATAACAAATATTTTATTTCAACATAAATTAAAAATATTTAGCATCAATCAGTTCTACTACTATGTTCCTGTTTTTCTTTAGACTCTTCATTATCAAAAACGAACCATTTTTTCTTATTTATTAAGAACAAAATCATTAATACTGGCAAATGTATCAATGAAAACCTAAATAATTTTCTCGACGTTGCACTTGATGAATCTTTATAAAATTGATATGCTGAAACAAAATTAATTATTATACAGGATGCTATTTTACGTGACATCTTTTATAACTTTTATATAGATTGTTCGATTGATATTGAATTTGACATCTGGAGTTGAAATTGCATTGTAGCCAGATACTTTTAGACGTAGCAGAAAATTTATGATTATTTTTAAACAAAACACCCTTTTTACTTATGTGGATAGAAAACATTGTTACCACTACAGTAAGAAAATTTAGAAGGTTTATCTCTAATAGTAAGATACATGTGTGTTCCAAATTATAAGTGTACCAACCATTAAAATAATAAGTCAAAAACAAATGAAACTTACATATTTTTTATGAATTAGATTCTAAAAAGTTACCGTTACAATTTTTTAAATTGTAATAAATATTTTTTAATCCAAAATCTAATAACACTATGTTATTCTACTTCCTTTGAATTGGTATGTACCCAGGCACATGTCTGGGGGAAGGGGGCTGCGGAGGCTATAGCCCCGAGCCTCGGGGAGCTTTGGCAAGATCTGGCAAAATGAATCCAAAGAATGTTTAGGTTTTCCAATTTATATTGGTAAGTCGCTGTTTGCGAGTTTTTAGAAGCAAACCAAGTGTTTAGGTTTTGAAATTTTTTATCGGTTTTTTTTCTTAGAAAAAGGACTTGCGTAGAGCTTGCAGCCCCGGGCCTCACCATAGGTTAATCCGGTTCTGCATTCAGCGAGCTTTTTTTTTCAATAATTAAAAATGGATTTCGCAAGAAGCGTACTTTGTTTATGTAAAAGTGCAAAACATCCCAAGCAAAAATTGTAGCTGCGCCCATGAGAATAACATGTTTTAGAATTTTGAGTTAAAAAAATATAGGTTTTCTGCTCTAATTCGGTAAAAATCACAATTTGATAATGTAGTTGCTCTCATGAAACTGGCTATATGTTTTTACACTGTGTCAATCAGATACTCTGTATACAAGTTATATGGGATTTTAAAGAACGTTCTGTATAATGAATGGAAATTAATACAAACCTAAATAAATAAAGTACAAATTAAGTGGAGCACTTTCTAACAAAAACCACCAGTTTGTAATGTCTAAAGTGGGTGCCGTCATCGATAATAGTTGAATAGCAACAGTGTGTCTCAATGCAACTCTACGGCACAAAGCGGGATCTGTTACAGCCATCATTCGGTATCCAGCTCGAGAATAATCAGGGCGCAAATTCCAAGAAAGTGCATTAAAATGTGGAAATTGCCAGCTGTACAGTAGAGCGGCCATCAGCCAACCACCTGGGCCTATGGAGTTGGCACAAGCGGCCCAACCCATTAGAGGAGGTATTGCACCAACTGTAATGGTTAAAAAATATGTTTTAAGACATATTAATCACTCTTTATTATAAGAAATATATTTGTATGTAAAGGATAACAATGAACCTTTTTTGCTAGTCTTAATTCACCTTTAATTAGTAAAAAATTAATTACACATCATTAGAGGGTTATTAAATGATACTTATTTTGCACTTAATATTTCTTGAAGTTAAAATAAAACAATATTAAATCTTTTAGCACATCAAGAGAATCAGTCAAATTAAAGGCAGAATGGTCACATTTCCTCAAAATTACATTAACAAGGTGAATTGCAATGAGGTTATTACGTCTCCAATTTTTTAATGGCTAACCGCTGTTTGCAACGTTTAGTTCTTTTTATATTAAATATGGATAACTGTTTGCTTTTGACATCTCCAGTTATTGCGGCTTATTGATTACAAAGGCCAGATTTTCAATTGTTTAATTTGGTTGTTTGGTTACTATGACCCTGAATAATAAACATATCGATCCCTTTCACTAGGCCTATTGCGGATCACATATCCAATATTATGCAGATTAGTATTATAATTCAAAATAGAAACAAAAGCCTTTGTACTTAAAAAATTGTATTTATTAAAATTTTCTTGCGATTTCAAGGTTTACATTTTTTTTTTTAAATAAAACACCCTATAAATTACATATTTGGATGAGATTATTGTTTCTAGTCTTACTATGTTTTACATATTACACTCAAGGTATGCCATTTTGGGCACATCTTTACTATTTGAGATTTACTTATCATTCTTATCAAACATTATACAGTAGTACTGAGAAAACTTTCTATTCCTTTATGTAAAAGTGTACAGTGTTCTATTTAAAAAAGTAGTTTTGCAATTACAAAATAATTGTAAAAATTAGGTCTTTTTTTTATAAGCACGGAAATAAAATAGGTATGGGGAGGGGTGCAGAATTTTCATTTTGCTTATTACATTATTCGTTTAGTATGAAGTGATTCACATGATCTCTTGAATGTTATTATAACTGATTTCTACAAAATACTAGGTGGTCAAAGTATAAATTGGTAAAGTAAAAATTATCAAACGAACGTTAAGTTTTAGTTTGTTTCTTTTTCAAGACGCATTGAAACTATTAAAATTATATTTTCTCAATTATCTCTGAAGATGTAGACTGATGAAATTTAGGCCACTTATTCATTTAATTAGAAGTACTAATTCACTGATTTATAAATATGTGTTTTATTTATTTTACATATCAAATAATTTCAGTTATACTGAACGCTAATTAGAATATTTTATGGTATCTGACAATATCGTTTGTCTTTCTTTCTTGATTGTAGCCATAGGAGCGAGATGTTACACTATGATTTTCAAACTTTAAATCAATTTTTCTATTGTTTATAATAAAAAAACTGTTAATTTTAAGCGTGAAATTGAAGTGAAAAAGGTCCATTCAGTGCGAATTCCATTACAATCTATTTAGAAATTTTGATATGCTTACCAATAGATCCTACCCATGTATTTAAAATACTGATACGTTTTAGTGGTGTATATATTGAGGTGTACAATATTAGATTCGCCAGACCTAAACCAGCTGTTAATCCATTGACTCCATAATATAAAATTCCTAAACCACTTAATCCGGCAGTTGTTGCAAACAGCATTGCATGTAGAGGCCTGAAATATTAATAAATTTAAATCTTCTGTAATGCAAATGGAAGAACTTACGTTAATCTACCACACACTAATACTCTGTGTTTAGTCCTTGACATCTGCGCATCAAATGGAACTTCATGAAACTGGTTGATTGAATTTGCCGCACTAGACAATAAGCTTGTTCCTAATATGCACAATGTAAAAGTACTCCATTCAAATGGTGCAGGTGCTACTGCATATCCAGCCATAGAAGTTACAACAACAAGCGCTGAAAATAATTTTTATATGATTTAAACATTATTTTGGTACATGGGTTTCTTACTAGTAAGTCTGATCTTTGATAACTTTAAATAATGTTGAACTAGATTTGTTCTATCTGTAGAAGGAGTTGGTCTCCACGCAGGAATAATTTCTGGTTTATGAGGTAGCAATTTTAGATCTTCTTGGGTTATGGTTATGGCGGTTGCCGAAGGCTGAACTTTCGTTTTATGTACATAGTGGCTGGTTGGTACTAATATTTTAAGACATTTCTAAAAAAAATGTTGTTTAATTGTAAGTCGCTAAGTTGTATAACTGTTTTTTACCTTGCTAAATAAATTGGAGTTATAAAATCTAGATTGTTTACATAACCTTAGTTGAAGTTGTATTAATATTGACATATTAATAAACAATTATTAAGTTTCATTGTTTAGATTACATAATATAGAATACGGTCAAAATCATGAAGTACCAAACCCACTAGTTTTTGATTTACATTTCAATATTTTTAGGTTAGAATGATTACGACATCGATATGACAAATTTCGTATTCTTCTTCTAAAGAATAACGTGACTACAAACCATGGTGGTTACTTACAGCGTATATTAGTAGTATATACTCTAGTAGTATATGCTCTAAGGGTTGTTATATTAGCTTTGTTCGAAGTTCGAAGAATCGAAAAACGGTTAGCAGCTATTGGAAACCATCAGGTGCAAGTGCTTTTGCGAAATAACGTTCGAAGAACAACAAATTACCAACGGTGACAACAAATTTGGTGTTCGTAGAAAACAACAAACTAGTTTCCAATCAGCTGAAATTAAGTAATCAGAATAATTCCCGATGATTCTAGAAATTTTTGGTTTGGTACACACGCATAAGTTTTGTACAGTAGAATTTGTAAGATTTTTTGATCTTGTTTACCTATAACTTAAATTTATGTTTATATATTTTGTTAAACACGTTATGCATTGTTTTAATATAATTTAATTAAAAAATATATATTAATTTCTCTAATCAACTCTATTTCATAAAGATTAGTACCTAAGTGTATTTATTGTTAATACCAAATTTCTATTTGTTACGTACATACATAAAATAATTAAAAAAATAGAGGATAAAATACAAAAATACAATTAAATATTTTTTTTATAATAATTTCTTATAATAATTTAAGAATGCGTTGTAAAATCTTTTTTCCTTCGAACCTATTCATAAATCTAGTTTGGGCTGACAAATCAAATTATTTGACCTTGCAATTTTTACTGAAAATGGCACCACTTCTGAATGGGAGTACTGCCATCTTTACACTATCATTTGTATAAGAAACCAATGGTCACCAAAATGATAGATAATATTATCTCTTTGTCACTCTCTTTCTATCTCATTTCCGACAGACGCGACAGAGAGCAACACAAACGTCGATTTTATTGAACTATTTTTCGTGTCCATACAAAAGAATAATGTTTAGGTATAAACTTTTTATTCTCGTAAAACAAACGAAAAACGTACTGTTCACATGAATTATAATTACTTTCCTTCATGAGCGTAGTGTACGTCTCTCAATCAATATAAATATGTAACGACGACAAGGTAGTAATAGCAGCAGCGGTGTTCATAGTGTTGAGAAGAAAAAGTTTAAGCGAAAAAGAATCTGTTGAGTGTTTTGAGAACGTTCTCCTTATTGAAGAAGATTAATGGAAGAGGAACAAGAGGAACACATATCGATTTGTCCACCGGACCATATTTACTTGCTAGATAGATAAAATAAAATACGCAATTTGGTATGCAAAACAATCTTGTAGTGTTGTAGTGACGTGACACGTGGCACGAAAAGAACCAGATGGCAAGTTCCATCTTGCCGACGCCTGTTGCTCAATTTTTTTAAAATTTATAGCTGGGCTAGCGACATATGCGACAAGGAAAAACATTTGTAGAGTCGGCATAAATAATTAGACAAATATATCGACATAAAACAACTTTATTTCTGGAAACTAGTCGCCAGTGACAAATATTGCACATTGTCGTTTCTATCTGGACGCATCTTTACATCAGCTTTCTACCACCGACAATATAGCTGCGCGCTAGCTATTTTGTCTGTGTTTCTACTAAAATCTTGTAAGTGTTTAGAGACAACCTATCATTTGGCTTAGAGGCTCCAGGTATGCGGGTTTTAAATATTCTTCATAAACAATTATAAATTGACAAGTAAGGGTTTTGTGTACGAAAACATACAAAAAGACCTAAATCGTAAAAAAGTCGATTAAAATTATCGGGACCATGAAGCCGGAAAAAACTGCACCATGCCTGATAGACCTCAGACGATGTCCCAAAGGACTTGAAACCCTAGCGCGGCGATTCCGACCGTGCGTCGTGGAAATTGGAAATTTCACCTGTCTTTCCAAAGTTCCCGTCGCCGCTGCCAAAAACAAGGCAAGCAGTCACAAACGCCCTATTGCAGCAGCCCACATCCCTAACTACGCGAAATGAAGGTCGCAAAGTCGTTTTAATGGAACCCAATAGAAAACATTCTTGAGACGCTGAAATGGTTAAACGCGAAAACCAACCAGGGTCCAGGGAGCCGCACTAAACCGGAACATGTAAGAGAAATACCGGCGGAACCGCCCCTACCAGTGCTCGAACGTGTACTCTGGGAATTTGCGCAATATTGTAAAGGAAGTTTTTGTTCTTTTTGGCCTCGTTGATGATATTCTTCTAATGTTGAATTCTGAGCAATTTTTCGTCAGTAAACTTTTGCGGACAAACCGTGCGCACACTTTTCGGTAGGTAGCCCAAATAGTCGGCCAAAATGCGATAAAGGTTTTTGAGATGTTCAATTTCTATTCCATGAATTTAAATGAAGATTTTGGCTGATCTTTGATGAATTCACGCACAGGTTTGATGGAATCACGGATTTCGGTTGGCCAACTGTTACCCATCATTTATATTCTCACGACCGTTTTTAAACCGCGTATACTACTTATGAACTGAAACTGAATTGAAACGTTTCGGTAAAAGTTTTACAAAGTTTAAAACCAAACTTAATATTAGCTCTTTGTTTGATGTTCATTTTTATACCGATGACACAAACATACTGTCACTTCAGACGCAATAAATAATAATTAATTGCCGATAGATGACCTCACTAGAAATAGAATATAATTTTTTGAAAAGTTCTGTTTACTTTGGAACGTACCTTGTACTATTACAAAAATTCCCATCATAAAAATGTTATCTCAGAAAAAACTCTTTATTGGTCAATATTTCAGTGCAAAATAACTTTCATTATGGATAATAAATTTATTAATATACCTAAATGCAAAAATTGTATATCTTTATTGTTTTCTTTCTTTTCTTTTTGATGTATGTTTTGGAGAGGAATTGACGACCGTGCTGCAGATGACAGGTTTGGAGAAGCTTTTCGGATTAATATCCAGATATGATGCAATTATTTCGGATTAGCAAGAAAAGTTTCAGTATAATCGAATCATAATTGAGGGCATAATTTCAATTATAATTGTGGCAGGTGCTTTGAAAATATCTTTGAGGTACGGGGCACAACAGTCTTTGAATGGACTTCAGTTAAATATTTTACCACATAAATCTGGTTCATCTATCAGCAGACGTGTGGTGCGATAACGATTAAATGGATATTAATTAATGGAATCATTTATTTTTGGTTATGTTTTAAAGAACGAGAACAAAAAATTCATGGCGGATTTTTATTTGGACGACGAATTACATTGCACGAAATTAAATGGTACCTATACTAAATAAAAATAAAATAAAATAAAATGTAAGAGGTACAGGTTATACCGGGTGATTCAGTTTGGTATTCGCGGCCCTGTATCTCTTTTATTTTAACAAATAGCTATAACAAACCCTATATATTTTTAAATCGCCGCACAAACTCTATCAAACGACATTATTAAATCGTCTGTATGGTAACATATGTCAAAATTGCTATAGTCAATTGTTTTTGTTCAAATGGCACACTATATATTTTTTTATCAATTCTGGAAGATATTTTTTTTCTGCGTTCAGCTATGTAAGGAAGTATATAGTTTCATTAGAAATATTGCAGCAAAAAAGGTGAACCCTACTTTTCGTACCTTTATTCTGAAAAATAATAGCCAGCTACGGAAACAAGCCTCTGTGTTTTTTAAAGTAACATATTTTAATTTTAATACGATAATAATATAACAATTTAAAACAATACTTATTTCAAATGTTCAAAATGACCTCCATTTGCTTCCAAACACGGAATAGCTCTTTTTATCACTCTCTACAAACACATTTTAGTGTTTCTTCATTTAATCTCCGACATTCTACTCTTATTCTGCTTTTAAGGTCGTCAATATCGTTTAGGTAAGGCCAAAGAAAGAAATCTATAGGAGTGAGATCCGGAGATCTAGCAGGCCATTTAACAACTTCATCGAATGTTCTTCATCTCTTGCCTTTCTGGGTTTAAAAACTCTTCTTTTCTTTTGAAAACTTTCATCTGCCGCCAAATTCCTGTCTAACTAAGCTGTCTGCGGAAAACGATGTTGGTATAAATACCTGGCAGCTTTAGCGTTCTTTCGGCGCTCTCCATAAATTAAAGTATTCATGTTATAATAAGTATACAGGGTAAGAAAGTACCGATGGTCTATCTGAAGTTACGTGAGAGCGATAAAGTAAGCCATAGAAATTCATGCGATAGAGGATGGCTATAATGAAGGCGTCTCATAGTCACCGCCCGTTTTGCCCTTCCACAAATAAGATCCACTTCTTATTTGTGGAAGGGCGAAATGGGCGGTGACTATTAGACGCCTTCACTATACCCATCCTTGTCTATCACATGGATTTCCATGGCTTACTTTATCGCTCTCACGTAACTTCAGATAGACCATCGGTACTTTCCTACCCGGTAGATAGAATAGGTAGGTACAAAATGTCAATTATTTTGACAAAACGTTATTTAGAAACGTCAAAATTCAGTTGTTTCCGCAGCTGGCTATCATTTTTCTGAATAAAGCTACTAAAAGTAGGTTCATCTTTTTTGCTGTTTTTCTAGCAATATTTGTAATGAAACTATAGACTTCCCAAAGAAAATATATACAGTGTAGGAAAGTACCGATGGTCTATCTGAAGTTACGTGAGAGCGATAAAGTAAGCCATAGAAATCCATGCGATAGAGAAGGATGGCTATAATGAAGGCGTCTCATAGTCACCGCCCGTTTCGCCCTTCCACAAATAAGATCCACTTCTTATTTGTGAAAGGGCGAAATGGGCGGTGACTATTAGACGCCTTCACTATACCCATCCTTGTCTATCACATGGATTTCTATGGCCTACTTTATCGCTCTCACGTAACTTCAGATTTTGACATGTGTCTGAAAACGCCCCCCTGTGGCCATTAAGACACACTTGTATTACAATATCTCGAAAATGCTTCGAAATAAATTGATAAAGAGACGGTCCTGAAAACAATGTGCCAATTTGGTTTAGATAAAGTCATTCCTCGTAGCAAATGGTACCTCTGTATCCATTTATTTTAAGCATTTTCGAGAAATTGTGTCTTAATGGCCCCCTTTAAAGGGGCGTAGCGCCACAGGGGGGCGTTTTCGGACACATGTCGACATGAACTTTTTTGCTCAAAATTACTTTCTCTATCATCTGTGTTCGTTTGGCACACCGGAAATGAAACACTCTGTATATAAAAAAGAAAGGATTGCTTTATATAGGTATGTATTCGAAACGCGACAGTAGGTAATTTTTATTGTTATATATTTCTTTCATATTGCAGCAAAACTTTCTACAACTTTGGTTCTTACTATTTTTTTCCTAGATTTAAGTGTAAAAAAGATAAAGAGACCCTGTATACTATTCGTGCTATTGCTATGTTTCATTGCTGATATAAGTTGTAATATTATTAGTAACATTAGATGCTAAATGCATTGGGTGCTATTAGAGACTAATGTCGCATCACACTGAAATTTTAACTTAGAAATGAATTTTCAAGTTTCAACTATAAGTTGTAGGTTTCTAAGATAGTACTTAATTAAACATTCGATTTTTAACACGATCGTGTGACCTACGTCATACCGACATCCCAGAATTACTGATGAGAATATCCATCTTTTTCATGCCGTATAGATACGTCCTCGAATAAATGCTACGCGATTGTCTGGAATAGGCGGGAATATCATTCTATTGGTCAAAATCTGTGAGCAATTGACTCAAAGTGGCGCTGAATCTTTAAGGATAACATAATATTTGCTTTTTTTATGCTGATATGTATTTTTGTATTGTGTAGATATACAGAATAAAACATTGTCATGAGTAAAAAATATCCATTTCTGTATACCTACATATTTTAATTTTTTTATTTTATGACATTTTGCTTACCTATATTTAAATGTAGAAATATACATTCTAAGTGAGTCAAAGTATATAGGGCGTCCCCTGTTAAGAAATTATTAGAAATATAGTATAGTATCTTTAGAATGCACTATGCCAGCTGAGAACCATAATTAGCCAATTTCTTGCCAACACTTAATATGTACAGGGTGTCTTAACCATTTAAAGTTTTAGAGCAAAACAATTCTGCTTGGTTAAAAAATAATCTGTAATTTTGTATTCCCTGTACTTAAATCAGTAATATTAACAACGAATGGAATGATTTTTACACAGTACGTTTTCATTCGTACATATTTTAGATCTTCTAACTGTTTTTTTACTGCATTTTCAATTTCCATTAATTTCTGTTTTGTAAAAGTTAAAGCATTCCTGCATTTATTATAGGTTATGATAAATCAACCAGTTGTGGCCACATTTTTATGAATTCGAGTCTGTTTTTTGATTATTATCATCATCCTTTTATTGTGTATTTACTTACAGATTTCAAGAAAAATTATTAAGATATAACTTTTATAGTAACTCTTTTGAATGTGTGTCAATTCGAAGAACTTCATTGCATTTGTAGTATTGTCATGGGTCTAGTTCACTAAATGCTGAAAATTGTTTATTGTTAACAACTGTATCATACATAAATTAGTCTCAGTAAAAAATAATTCAATAATAATTAAAAATCGTATAGAAAATTTAACCTGTATTGGTTATTTTCTTACAGGTTTGTTTATAATAAAGTAAAAGTACTGAAGAGCAATCGAAACTCACATTTAAGAAAAAATTAGGTATAATTTCTGACGGTTCGCAAAAATTGATTAATATTGTAAAGAAGCATGGGAACCGTACCGTTTTTTAGGATTTCTACGCCCACATACAGAACTTTAGTGATGAAAAAATTTCGAATGAAATTTGCTAAATAAAAAATTACTATGATATCTCAAAAAGGATTGCACGTAGGTACTTGCAAAATATATTTTTCCCTAATTAACTAATAGATGATATAATCAGGTGTTTGCATTTCTTGAAAATTAAATTTTTCTTCATGTCTATTTAACTTGTACTTTATTAATATGTTTTTTTTTGATTTTAAGAAAACTGAAGATTTAGTGAAAAACAAGAAATCATCTTTTTCTTCCTTGGTATCGATTCTCCAGTTCACTTATATCTTGATGGAATCTTTCTCCTTGTTCTTCACTGTAGTCTTCAAGGTTATGAGGAAAGTAGTTGAGGTGAGAGTGTAGGAAGTGCGATTTAAGATTCATCAAGCAACCTAACTCTGAAAATTTTCAACATTTTTTCAACTAAATTTTCGAAGTGGGGCTCTTCTCATTTCCTAAAAAGTTCCGAGAGATATTCTTGAAACTTGCCATGCTGCTTTTTCTGTCATTTATCCTTGTAGTGAAATTTTCGCTTCGAAATGGAGTAGGTACTAATTTGAGTACAGGTACAGATCACTTTTCTAATTTTGTGAGCCGTTGTAATTTATATACTTAGGTATAAAATTGTAATTGTACGCATATCAAAAGACTGACACAATCTGGTATGGACAGAAATTGAGTGCGATTTGTGTGAAACTATATTATAGTGTAATAGGTACATTTACTGCCTGCAATTCTCTATTTGGTATTTCTTATACCTTATTTTATTTAATAAGGCCATACTGAAAAAAAAAGGAATTACTTAAGTCATTTAGTGACAAATATTTCACATTGAGAAATGAAATAATTGTTCACGATTGAGCAATATTTTAAAAATAATGAAGAATTGACTGCTACAGTTCACAATTTTCGTGCAAAATAAGGTGGGAATAGCGATTTAACTTCATCAACTCTGAAGAGATTAACTGAAAAAGATACTAGATCAAATAGCGACTTTAAACACTCTGGCCGTCCTTTAACAAGTCGTTCAATACAAAACATCGAAGCGGTTAGTGAGTGTTGCTGAGAATCCAGGAACAATAATTCGGCACCGTGGTCAAGAATTGGACATTTTGAGAAGAACTCTACACTCTACAGCGTATTCTCACGAAATATTAGCATTTTGATGCTTACAAAGTTTAAGTGTCTCAAGAACTGAAGCCTGCTGACCATGCAAAGCGAAGAGTGTTCGTTGAATGGATTATGACTTTTCTAACAAAATCATCTTCAACGATGAGACCCATTTTTATTAAATCCACGAGTAATTGTTGAGAAGTAAATGCATACGCAACGTGTCTTTGTTTGGTGCGGATTTTGGGCTGGAGGCATCATTCGTTTTCGAAAATCACTATCATGATATGAAAATCTTGTTTTTTTGTGCCTAAATTGTAAGATATGGATATAGACGACATGTGGATTCAACAAAACGATGCCACGTACCGGGGAAACAATCATGGGCGTAGCTAGGGGGGGACAGCAGTGTGCACGGCCCGCCCCAGAAAGCCCGGTGCTCCACCCCAGAAAAAAGGATCTAATATTATTATCATTGTCGTATCGGTAAGTCGGAGACTGCGTGACCATTTTTTTAATCAAAACGTTCAAATCTTATGTCGGTAAGTCGCTGATTGCGTTTTTTTTGGGGCTTCCTTGGGGTTTGCGGCCCGGGCTCACCCCAAAAAAAATTGTAGCTACGTCCATGGAGACAATTCAATTACTGTATGAGTCATTCCCTGGTGGTATAATTTCCCGTTTTGGTGATCAGAATTGGCCGCAAGGTCATGAGATTTGAAGTCCTTGGACTTTTTTCTTTGGGGTTGTTTGAAGTTTAAGGTTATGGCAATAAGCCCACGACCACCCACACCTTGAAGGAGGAAATTCAATACTGTATCAATGAAATTCAGCCGCATTTATGTAAAATGGTCTTGGAAAATTTCGACAAAAGTGTGCGCATGTGCCGTGAAGGCTATTTACCCGTCCGATATGCCATTCCATACATAACCCTATGAATCAATAAAAAAATTGTAATTTTTAATTAAAAATCTGTGTTTTCTGTCAAAATCACTTCTTGCGTACCTATTTTGGGACACCCATAAAGCTAGCTCAAATTAATTCTAATTTTTTTTTACAAATCTCGTTAAAAGAAGTTTTTATATTAAATAATTACAGGTATTCTACAGTGTGTCAGCCAAATGGAATAAATTCAATAATAAATAAATGAGGACGTGTTCGAAAAAATGCTGGGACACGTCGATTAGTATTTTTAGTTGCGCATTTTTTTCAACCAAAACTTTTTATACAGGGTGTGTCATTTAACAGCGGTAAATACCAACTTTTTTATTTTAAATGCAACACCCTGTATATTACACAATTTTTGGATTCTTCAGAAACTTCTAGACATATTTCATGTACAATGTCCTATACCTATCTTCAACTGTTTCGGAAACATTAAGTGTTTTCAGATTTATTGCAAAAATTAACATTAAAAAAAAGAAAATTATTTGATTACAGAAATTCGCTAAAATACATTCAATACTTTTTTATAACTATAAAGTAAGCAAAAAACATTTCAGAGTACCTTTTTACTGATATGAAATGTTGCCAAGACGTTCGCGGCGAGCATTTTGGCTTTTTTACATTATCAAAAAATAAACAGTAACACTTATTCTTATTAGTTTTTGCTCCACAATTGGAAGATATTCTTCCGTTATGACAGTAGTTTACCAATTATACTGAATGAATGAAATATTTTTAAACAATGTTTTAAACAATAATTGAAATAATACAGGAGGCTATGATGAAAAATGAAAGCTCCATTGCTGACATTTTTGACGTTTAACTCTTGCTGATAAACTAGTTAGTGTTATAAAGTAAGAATCTCTGGCAGTCTTGGCAGAATATTTATCTTTACAAGAAACAATAGAAATTATTAGATTAAGGGATGAAAATTTCAGTAGGTAGTTTTTCTTCTCAAAATGTCAGATTTTGTAATTACTGCAAAGAGGCAGTATTTCCAGAAAGTTAATGTGTTTTGCGGAATTTCAAGCACCGGGTAATAGGTCCCTTCCTTTTTTATAATAACTTAAATAGTGAAGTATTTCTTCAGTTTGTAAATAATGAATTATAGGACATTATACAGGATATTCTTTTATTGGAAAGAAGAAATATTTATTTACAGTTGGATGGAGCTCCAATCTACAACACTGTCATTAATTGGCTTAATCACCAGTTTGAAAATAAGTGGATTGGGAAAAGGAGTCCAGTAGTACAATGACCACCAAGATCCCCTGATTTGTCCCCTATGGACTTTTACTTTTGGAGGTTTTATAAAACAAAAAGTTTATAAAAACAGACCAAGGAATTTGGATGACCTAAAGAATCGCATGAGACAAGCTTGTGCAGAAATTACCCCACAGCAGCTAGTAAAGTATTTTTAAATTTAAAAAGACGACTGGAAACACGTTGTTCGATTAGAAGGAGGTTTGGTGGAGGAAACTAAAATTTAATTTAGATTGTTTTGCAATTTTTTGTTTAATAACTTCGTATTTATAATTCATTACATTTTTAATTATTATTAATTTTCCTGTAGCCGCAATTAAAATTATTTATAGAGTCTGTATTTTTTCTTTGTCCGATTGGTACTTGCTTTCACTTTCATAACAATCTTTGACCTGCTTATTATAATTTTTAGTTGTCTGACTTTTCGATGTTTGGCACACCATAAAAACACTCAATAGACATTTGTCGATCAAATTTGGTATATGGGTATGATGGGTATTGGATAGCCTGGTAATATTATCTTTTTGACAAAAAAATGCCTTATTCCACTTTCTGGAAAAATTACCCTTTTAAAAAATGTAGTAGGTCAGGCTTTTGTCGCATCAATAAAATGATTACTAAAATATCACCTCCCTTCAGGGTACTATTCCACTGCCTTCTCACATTTTCAGAGGTGTTAATCTGAAAAACGGGATACATATTTATACAGGGTGTCTCGTAAGCACATGATCAAAAAGGTACTGCGACATTCTTTGGCTCAAAAGAAGACGATCTGACTTAACTTCCATTAAGAAAAAATGTCTGACTCTTCCGTTATTGATTGTCAAAGTTCTTGAAAGAAATTATATTTTTTGTAATATCTGGAGTATGTTACTATGGATTTTAATGAAACTTGTTGTGGAGTTGTTCCTAAGTAAGACTCATGTTTTGATGAAGCAACCGCATCCATCCGCCTTGGGCAAGTGGTACATTCTTGAGTGTCTTGGTACAAGAATTACCATTATCTTATTTTATAGCTGAAACCACTTAATTTTTTTCTATTGATGCATCGGTCCTCTTTCGGGATTTTCGTGCTCTTGATAAAATCTTGTAGCATTCATAGTTTTTACGCAGAAAAATGTTTTCCATTTTGTTGCGACTTAACAATATTTTAGATGTATCGCAGTAAATTTGCCCTTTTACAAGAAACGGCTTTCTCTAATAATTATGCCAACTCTTTTACCTAGGATATCAATATTGAAAGTAAAATGGTTACAATTTTAAAATCTGTCGCGACGCGACGGATTGAATATTATTTTATCTCATTAGATTTATTTTTTGTTAACGCGCAAAAATGTAAAGACGTACATAGGAAAGACATAATTCTCTTTATTGAAACTGGATGATAGTTACATAGATACGGTAGATGATGATGGAATTACAAAACATGTTCGATATGTCAGCCATTTTCTTGGATGCATAGCTGGATCCTTCAACTGAAATTTAATTAAGCCCTCCTTAACATTTCTGGATCATTCCGTATTACGTCCGTCTCGTTTTGAATCCTACGTAATTATTCTTCCTGGGATTGCACAGGAGTGGCGTAAATTATTCTTTAAGGCTCCCCATAGAAAAAAATCTAATGCCATAAAGTCGGGGGACCTGGAGGACCATTCGACAGGAAGATCTCTTCTTCCGATTCAATTGTGTGAAAAAGTATTATTTAAAAGTGCAGTTACATCTGCACTAAAGTGCGGAGGAGTACCATCGTGCATGAACTACATCTGAGCACGAAGATCGAGAGGGACATCTTCCATTAGAACCGGAAAAGTATTATTCCAAAAATTAAGATAATTTTCGCCATTCAAGCGGCGCGGCATGACATAAGGACCCAGAAGGATGTCACCGATGATCCCGGCCCAAACATTTATTTGAAATTCAACCTGAAACTCAAGAATTTACTACTTGCTCAAGGCGGATGGATGCGGTTGCTTCATCAAAACATGAGTCTTACTTAGGAACAACTCCACAACAAGTTTCATTAAAATCCATAGTAACATACTCTAGATATTACAAAAAATATATATTTTTTCAAGAACTTTGACACTCAATAGCGCAAGAGCCAGACATTTTTTCTTAATGGAAGTTAGGTCAGATCGTCTTCTTTTGAGCCAAAGAATGTCACAGTACCTATTTGATCATGTGCTTATGGGGATGGGGCACCTTGTATAATTACAGTACCTACTTATTATGTTAAGTAGGTATCTATTGTAGAATATATAATACAAATTTTCGAAATAAGGTTCAGTAATAAGAAAACTAAAACAGTTTACCATTGATTTACTTAACAGTGACAAATCAATCTTTAAATTTTATGACTTTTAGTCACTCTGATTTGAGTTTTGAGAACAAAATAGTGAAAATAGAGTTTATGAAACGTTGACTTGCCATGTAGTGCGTAGTGTTTTCATAGTGTAATCGTAATAATTTAATATGACATTAGACAAATCTATAAATTTATAAAATTAACTCCTCGACTAATCAAGGAGTTACCTATCTTTTTAAAATTCGTTCTCATATTCAGTGTTAATACCCAATTAAACATAACAATATCTTTAAATATCTATAACTTTATAGTGTTTCGTAGGTAGGTAGGTACTGAATATATTCTGATGTATTTTCAGTACTGTTTTGCAAAAACATTAATATATAATTTTTTTTAATGTAATTATTTTTACTTCGATTATTCGTTATTAATTTGATACATGTCTCTATTAATAGTCACCAGTGCTCTAACAGTTGCCTGTTAAGTAGCTAACAGAAGACGAATTGCATGTTTTTTTTTCCATGTACCTATTTAATCTACCCGTATCACATTTTTAAATCCCAGGGTATAAAAAGATTTCATATAATTCACGGCATATTCGGGTAATACCCTTAATTTAAATAACTAAATACAGCCAGATTACTAATAAACACGTCCTGCCTGATACAGAAGAATGTCCGACATAACAATAAAGCAGGCTGCACACAAAACACCCCTAATACATATCAGATTTCACTGTGACAGCTCTATTTGTACCATTTAGCACAACATACACTGAAATTCACCCCTTGTTGAGCAGTCAAACGCTTTACATTGACAGGGGTAAGCTAGGACACGACACCATTGGCGAGACGCGCTCCCTGGGTACCAATGAACGCAAGAGGGGCGTTCCGGAGCTCTCATCATTGCCGACGGTTATCACTCAGCTTCATTTCATATTTCACAAGATCCAGTGATGGTTTAAGATTAATTGTGACCGAGAGAATTCCATTCAAAGCCGCACGCTGGCTTCTCTTAAACGTGAGAGTGATCTGGACTGGTGCGACGCCAGTACGACCGATTACGTCGAAGACTACAGCGAAGAAGAGCTGAAGATGGTAGAAACGTCGTCTCAGTCGTCTCCTAGGAATGCGACGACATTGGTCCCGCAGCATTTTTTAGGGAATATGTTTCTGGGAGAGGGTTTCAAACCGGTTTATAAACATCGAAGTCCAGCGGCTACGTCTTCGTCTCCTAGTGGTAGTTCTCTGTTTACTATCGATAGTATCTTGGCACCGCGGCCCAAACCCAATTCTCCTCAGAGGCCGATGTTGCAGCATCCCTCTCTTCACTTGGGGCACATAGCTGCTGCTGCTGGAGGTTTTGGGACAACTTCTGCGGACTTTTTGGGTGAGTAGTATATAAATCAGAATATATTAATAAAATAAAAGTAAAATTATATTGCGACGGATATACATTAGGTATACTTACCGTTTTTTAATATTTAAAGAAATGTTATTAAAACCGACGGACTACTAATTTGTGCTTAATAAGTTATTTTTATTATTTTTTATTTATTCATTTGTTTATTTTATAGGCAGCTCGCTCTCATTACATTGAGCAAACTGAGTTGTAAAAATAATTCATGAAATGAAATAGGTAATAATAATAATAAGAAATACATAAACATAAATTCATAAAAAGTACATAGAAAATTATCATATTAAATACTATACATTATACATTAAATACTTTTTCTAAAGATATTTTAGAATATCAGTTAGAGTCATTAATACTCTTAATTCTCTATCAATCCGTGAATGACCGTCATACTTGGTATATCTTGTGAAAATTTATACAGAAAACAGTTTGATTCCTATGAGATTTAGGTACAATATTTTTAAAGATTTTATTTACAACAAGAAACATATACAGGGTGTCCCGTTCATGTTTCAAAAAAACTTGTGTGCAAGTTTCTTATGGGAAATTAATAGGGGTAGTTCATGTAAAGTTTTTTTCTTAGACGTCCTGTTCTAGAGATACAGTGTGTTGAAGTTGTTACTTTCCAAATGGGTTTCCTTAATTATCTTTAAATCGGCTAAAGACACAAATGTCAAAATTTGTACACGAGTAAACATCGACTGTCTGTTAAGAATAATGTGCAAACGGTTTCTTTTTGAAAAACAGTGTCGCCGATACAGGTAATTAAAGGGGTACGTACAATAGGAGAAAAAATATGTTAAAAGAAAAAATTTATTACATTTCTAAACGGTTCTGTAAACTCTATAGGATACTACAAAAAAAAGGTATACTTGTCGAAATTCGGTAGTACCTATGTACCATTTTTGAGAAAAATGAAGTTGCATTTTTTTTGCTCATATAAAGCGGCACAAGTACATTAACAAAATATTAAATTGAAAGAGGACCATTGAATGAAGACGTTTAGCTATCAACAGTATTTGCATTTAAGACTATAATTTTAATTTCTTACGCATCACATGAAACAGTTAAATTGTAAAACATTTTATTAACTAAAAAAAATTAAATTTATATTAAGTTTCAGTTTGTTGTAAACTAACATTTGAAAAAATAAATCAAAATAAACAGATTATGGTAATTAATTGTCTATTATTAACTAATTTTAGATTTTGTAAACTACTACACTACCATTACTAAAATACATAATTGTTGAATGAACTGAATTGTTGATGGACATTGATGCTTAAAAAAGTGATAAAAACAGAAAAATATTAGGAAACAGACTCGGTGACACACAGAACAAAACAGCTGCACAATTAAATAAATGTGCAAACTCGAAATACTACTGTAGATACTGAAATTTCCTTCTATGCAACTTCATTTTTCTCGAAATGGTACATGCTACCGAATTTCGACAAATATACCTTTTTTTTTGTAGTATGCTTTAGAGTTTACACAACCGTTTAGAAATGTAATAAATTTTGAATTTTAACATTTTTTTTCGATTGTACCCCTCCAATTACCTGTATCGGCGGCACTGCTTTTCAGAAAGAAAACATTTGCACATTATTCTTAACGATGTTTACTCGTGTAGAAATTTTGACATTTTTATCTTTAGCGGATTTAAAGAGAATTAAGGAAAACCATTTGGAAAGTAACAACTTCAAATCATGTATATCGAAAACAGGGCGACTAAGAAAAAAAACTTTACATGAACTACCCCTATTATTTTTCCATGAGGAAGTTGCACACAAGTTTTTTTGAAACATGAACGGGACATCCTGTATATGTTCAAGTTCTTCCAGAAAGTTCAGTACCCAAGACAAACAAAAAGAGCAAAAATTATATTGCGTATACATGTAACTTTTTATTAAAATTTTATAGTTGGCAACAAGTATATCTTAATAGAAAAGGCAATAGTCACAGTAATATTTTTTAGATTCAGGGTGTTAAAAAATATTACATCTCTCAATATCTTCTGAAGAAATGAAGGTATTGAGCTCAGATTAGACTACGAGGCATGTTTGTTTCCTTTTTCCGAGAAATTATGGTGGTATCGGAAAAATATATGTCAATTTTCAGTTATAAATTCAATTTTGCACGAATTGAACGATGATAAATGATCATTTGCATAGATTTTATCGGCTTAATATAAATCAACGTAGGTAATTACTATTTTTTGGAAACTATAACACTGTTCCTCAAAATAAGTTCAGTGTTATAAGAAAATAATCTTACATTTACACATTGTACTTACATGCTGAAAAGATGATAATAGGTGAAGGTACATAGGTATTAATGCATTCTTAATTCAATTTTGAGTGTATTTAAGATTTTAACAAAGAAATGAGCTTACGAATACAATTTTTAGTCAGAAAAACGAAAATATGTGAGAATGAGAACATATTCTGTAAAAATTACTCCATTCGTTGTTAACATTACGCTTTTCTGAGGGGAACACAAAGTTGTATACAAACAGATACCGCCGCGCTGTTTGGACTCTATTGTCAGACAACAAATACGTTTACTTAGTTTGTAATTAAGAATTGATTTTAGTTACTATTAAGTGTAGTATAAGTGTAGTATATGACATGACTCACATCAATTATTATTAGCAAGCTAACTCAAAAGTTATTCCATATAATCAAATAATTGAGCGAACATTACTCAACCAATAGAATTATTATTTTTTTATTTATAGAATTTTTTATTTTGGAATTGGGTACATCAGGAAATAAACAGTACAATACAACAATATCACAATACCTAACATCCTATTAGCCTAATAACATATATCTAGTCATATATATCATTTATCAAGCCAAAATAATGTAAAACTTGCGTTGTGAGATTCATAAATATATGAAAACTTTTTCTAATCGTGTTATAACTGCTATGACTACGCCAAAAAAAAATGAATACATTGTATGATATATGTATTTTCATCAATTTACCAGAATTATCTGAACGATATTGAAAGACAGTATGCTAGGAGAGACTAGTTATAAGAATCCAAAATCCGAGATTTATATCAATCATAAACTAGCTTGAGTTGACTAAAGTTTTCCATAATATGAGCTTTAAGTTCTCTTTTCAAAACAGATTTTTTTGAGATAGTTTTCATTGTTGTAGGTAATAAATTAAATCTGTCTCAAACTCAACACGTTAGCTTCTTTGTATAACATTTCAGTGGAGTAAATTCTGCCTTTTTTTTAGAATGATTTTTAATATACTATTTTGTAAAATCTCTAGATTATGCATTACTGATTTATATGCTCCACTCCATACAGTTATACAATAACTCATTACAGACACCACCAATACATGATAAACCATAAGAATATGCTTGATATCTATTGCATCTCTGAGTTGATAAAATTTATGTATTAGTTTCCTAAGCCGCTTAACTGTGAATTATATGTGATCTGTCCAGCGTATTATTTTAACATAATTGGGTGTGGAAAAACTGTTAATTTTGAGTGAAAATGTAATCAATTTTTTTTGTCGGTTTATTAAAAATGAAGCACTTACATACATAAATTTGTCTGTAACAAGTCTTGAATTATACCTAAGAGTATTACATAAGTATTCATTTTTTTTTAATATTGAGAAAATAATATTTGAATAAACGTACCTATACTCGGCGGCCGAAATTATAAAGAGTGACTAATACATAATATAAAAACACTATGACCATAATGCGTATAAAATATAAAATGATTTCTATACGGTTCAATATTATTTATCTTTGTGCCGCTCGCCATGCACATCGGTAGAATCTAAAATCGTGTATAGACTGAGTTACACTGAACGTCGATCTATATTTTATCTCTGTCTTTTGCACTTGGTAGGGAATAGGGAAATGCTTTTTTAGTGGGTGTAAACGGACTTGATTTGCCCGACCTGAGAAACGTCATAGCATAAGCGTAGACGAGGGGTCTAATTCCATGGCTATAATAAATTTATAAATTTAAAAAACACAACTGGGACGTTTTAAAATGCTGTAATAATTAAAATTGGTCAAAGTGCCGGTTATAGCAAACCGTAAAAAATATTAGATGTTATGTTTTATTATGTTTTTTCAATATTTTATATATCTTGTTGCCTTTTACGCAGACACGCCAATGGATTTTCATTCCCGGCACGCTTCATCCCCCTTACTAGTCCAAGAGCTAGCGATGAATCACTATCTATAATTTTGGCCGTAGAGTATAGTACTACTGAGAAAAAAAAACATTTAAACAAATGAAAAGGTGCTTATTAGTTCTTCGTTCACAAATACGATGCAATGCTGAAATACTAAACAAATCATTAAAGTGACCCTATCGTCTCCAAAATTTGACATTTCGTCATTTTACCTCATTCGTCAATTTACCCTATAACCTCCCCCTCATGATGTGATAACTAATAGTATACTTTGGAACAACAGTTGAATATGGCGTGAGTGAGACCAGATCACGAAAAAGTATTTCGATATATTCGATATAAATATTCTTAAAAGTTAGTACCTACGTAGTAGTTACTAAGTAAGTAGTAGTAGTTACTAAGTTAGGTAGTAAGTTCTTAGATGTAGTCGCACAATGTTCTTTGATACCGAAAATCTAAGTATGCAAGAGACAAGACAATATATAACCTTCATAGACAAGATTCTTAACTGATGTGATATTGCGAGAATCTAATTACTCTATGGTTTACACGCCCCAACTAACATTGAATTATATTATTTTGCGTGTCGTCTTTATCAAGCATGATGCAACCAAGAATACAATATATTTCTTTGAGAGATTACATTGTTAATAATTTCAATATGTCAGGTGTGTGTTTTTAAATTAATAATATTTAGATACTTCATTTCAAGTTTTTATACTTATTAGGTAATTATTAATTATTAGCTATTTACTAGATACTGTTGGCGTAATTGGTTTGAAGCA